ATTGTTCTTTCAGAATATCCTGACAAATCCCATAATTTCAGAAATTTCATTTTTATGACGTCACACTTTAGTACTCTATTAGCTATTACTAAATCTTACGCTTCTCTTTTCCAGTGCCTACTCGCATACATGTACGTAACACACACATCTTGGCAATCTTTAGATAGAGATAAAAAATAAATGACTTAGTTCGCTTAGTTTTAGCAGCATTTTTATGGCCTCCAGCAACCTCGTCCCCAGGGCTTTTCCCTCAAAAAATGGGTGGACCCATTTTTTGAGGGAAAAGCCCTGGGGACGAGGTTGAGCCTCCAGTTCAGAGGGAATGCAACTTTGCGCTAGAGCCGTTACATCCTTACAGCAGTTTCAGATTATAGTATAATGTGACGCTTTACTCTTTTATTTATGAACGTAACAATGACAATAGACAAAATGGCGTATGTAGCCCCTTTGTAGTAGAAGCCCATGACTTCTTGAAGGTCCATGGCTGTTGTCATGGCAACAGCATTTTTTGTTAAATATTGTCTTCATCACATTGATTCCGCCAGGTGGTTTATCATCCAAGAAGGGTGAACAGGACATTTCTCGCGAAATGCACAATAACCATACCGCAATTTAGTAAAATCCAACTCGTGGTCTATTATCAATGCAGCGTTCTGATTGGTTGAGCTACTACTAGGCTATATGTTATAGCCCGCTAGCGCTAGTAACGAAAAGCGCGGGTTTTTTGGCGGCAAAAAAGGATTAAAGTCCAGCTTTAACTAGCTAAAATTCTTTTATCTCGATATTTTTGACCAACTAGTTGGATTTTACTAAAACAATAATTATTATTCCTCCCGCCCTCATGGCCTCTGAGTCAATAGCCCATTTGGCCTTCGGCCTCATGGGACTCAGAGCCCATTCGGGCTCAAGGAATAATCGTTAAATATTTTCAAGTGCAAAAAGCATGTTGTCTTTTAGCCTTTTATGGTATTTTTTTTTCCACGCTTGTTTAATTGTTTTGCTACAAAAATCCAAATCGCTTACGTTGCCTATAAGGCACCTGTCATCTGGCCTACCAAAAACAATTTTCCCTATTTACTATTGGCTCTTTTAAGCGATTTGGAAAGGCTGCAGTTGAAAGGATGGCATATAGCCCTTAAAGCCTTACACCGTTACAGCACTTGCAGCCGTTACACCCTTACGGCCCTTGCGCCCTTACAGAATTTATAGCCTGGTAAAAAAAGTCACCCTCCCAGCCCCTAAGCTAGCCTGCGATCATGTCCTCTCCCTTTCTCGAGGCAAAGAAGAAAAAATAAAAATAAGCCTGATCTCAGGTTACTCCCACGCTTACACATGCACACATATCAACTGACCAGCACCGTTACCTTGCATGTGCACAAGTTCCTACGATAAACTGTTTCAAGATTTCGGCGAAATTTTTCGAATTGTAGGCCGTAAAAGAACGTTTCCTTTATTTAATATCGTAAAGCCGATAAGGATGATATGTAATAAGGGACGCGCTCTGCCAGAGTAAAAGAAATTGTGAGGTTCTCGGCTGTTGTGAAGTGACTGCGACGGCTCTCCGAAGAGCGAAACGATTTTTTTAAAGTAACACTTAGACTTGTAACCCCCCACCAGCGGGTTTCTGAGCTACATTTTCACTCTGTCACTTCTCTTTTTGTATCATTATACGTGTCTGCCCATTAACATCCTTAGTTAATCTTTATCTAAAATCTGCTGAATCAGCATTTTATGGCTCGGACATCTTGTCGCCAACTTGACATTGGCTGGTTTTTCTTTTAATTAATTCCTACCTAAGGAGTTTGTTACATGTTAATGGAGAAAACCCATATAATCAAATAAGTTATTAGTAAAAGCTGTAATAAACGGAGAGAGGAGAGTGCTCAAAGTTAGAAGTAAGTGTTAATGTTGGCTTAGGGGAGGGGTAGGTGGGCAGTTTTCCAGAAAGGTATAATGATCCAATGATCCTACTCTTTGACGAGTATCTGCAATACATAAAAACATCCGCGCTCTTTACATCCTCTGAAACCTTGCCAAGAAATAGGCCAACATTTCGAAGAAAGTTACAAGGAGGTACTAAACTTGTTAAGAACTTAGAAATATTTTGAATGAATCAGAAACGCGTTTATTGAATTCGTCTTTCGAATAATGTGAAGAATTATGCTCATCTCACAGAATGTTATCCACGGTGGATAACATTCTCTGAGATCAGCATAATTCTTCACATCATACGAAAGACGAATTCAATTATTGCTCAATAATCTAGAAGCAAGGCTTGCATCGGCGATTACCAGCCGATGCTTAGGAAATGAGCCCACGCTCCTCACCCGAGAGAACGGCGGAAATCGAGCCTAAACGGAACTTGGCCCTTTGACAATTATCTCAATCAACTGATGAAAAACCAGTGACACTCACAGGCACGTAGCCACGTTTTTTTGCGGGGAGGTGCGATCCAAGGAAGAGGCGGACCAAACGAGACCGGAGAAGCAAGTCTCTAGAGAGGGGGGTGGGGCTAGGTTGTCGGAGACTGTATTGCGAACGTTTTCAAAACATTGATATTTCTCAAATTTTAGAACTTCAAAACTGATTTTTTTTTGGCAAAGAGATAACTTTTTCATTATCTGTTAGACGGTGGATGTGCATACGAGCTAGTGAAGAGAGCCTCTCTTGTGCCGCGAGTATTACTTTTTTGCTACAGAAAACAGCAGATATTTTAAACTATGCTCAAAGACAAAGGGCTACTTCAAAAACGAACAATGCATATCTTCATCTCCTTCAAGCACAAGTGGATGTGAGATCCATCCTTTGTAATAGGCCACTTCCGAGTTCCAAAACCCTCGCTTTCAAAATGAGGCTAGGTGCACAACCTTTCTTGTGAAAATGAGGTTTATTTGCATGAGAATGAAAAAGGATTTCCATATCAAAGGCAGAGCACTTAACCTCGTTTTGAAACAGAGGCCTGGGGGAACTCGGAAATGGCCTATTGGCTGTTAAACAGGCAATTCGAAAACGAGAATTCCCAATCCCTGAAACGCCCCGATAAATGCGTCCAGTCAGAAACGGTTGTACCGCTCTCGCCAAAAAACGAAAACAAAGTTAAAAGTAATGTTTCTCCCTGGCTAGCAACTTTCACGGCAATAATTCCAAATGGACGAATAATAACATCATCGGGCTCCAGTCTTAAGTCTTGTAATTTACATGAAAGAGCTTGGAGTTGACTGACGCATGCAACACTACCAGAGTGGGGTAGCTTTAATAGGAACTTCAATATCCTGCAAGCAACGCAAAAAAGCTGGGTCCAGCATGTGAAAACTATAGCAGGGAATCTAATACCCTGTCAAACTGTTAAAATGACAATTCAGATCCAACACTTTGCAAAAAGCTATGGAACGAAACCCTCAAGGCTGTTGGGCCGCTTTTAAAAGTGAGAAAGGAAAATCTTAATACCTACAGCTAGCGATCAGAGGTCAATTTCTGATAGCGCAAAGATAAGAAACTACAGGAAATCACTGTACAGCACAGGACCACATGACCTCTCAGTGAACGAAACATTTGCTAAATCCACACTACGAATCCTCCAAAACAGACTTAACCAGTTAAGGATAAAATGAAGGAGCAAGTGCCGTATTAGCAAGGGGTAAATGCCTTGTAGGTATTCCAAATCCCCTTTTTATAGTTTACGAAGGCTAAAACACGCTTTGTGGAAAGGGTGAGTCAAGCTTATGGCTCTTTCGCAGTATTTTCACTTTTACTACACAATCAGTGAATTAGAATAGAACAATACTCTAAATTCACTTTGTTTTAATCTTTGATCAACAAAAAAGTGGACCTCTGGAACCTGTGGCGGGGGGAGGGGGTGTGAGCGCACCCGTCGCACCTCCCCCCCCCTCCCTGCGGGCCTGACTCACAGTAATACTCTGGCAAGCTATTCCGAAACTTTATGCCAAGTTGGTCACAATTGCTGCCCGCATCCTCCTGTCGTGGTTCACAACTTCTGCGCCAGAAAGAACAGATGACTACTTTTCGACTTTCTTTGAGTTACCGACACCAAGTTTTCAGATATGCGGTTTAATTGCAACAAATGTGTGGCTAATCAAATTTCACTGCATGTATATGATTGTCCTTCTTAAAAAACATTCACCCATGCAGGTCACATGTTACAGTTTCTGATAAGATAAGTATAATTTGCACTGTATTGTATACTGAAGTGCTGGAACATCAATAAACTATCAGTTATTAACATTTATAAAATAAGTAAGATAGTACGCGCGCTCTGATTGGTTAAAAACCTATGGTTTATTGTGCCGGTTAACTCATAGAAAACCTAAACGACTCCGTTTTACTTAAAGTTATTTTATAAAAGCAATAGACCACACTTTTTATGGGTTTACCGGCGTGATAACCCACGCGGGATGTTGGGAGAACACGAGAAAAGCTTGTAAATTACGAGCCAAAGGCGGGTGATTTACAAGCTTTTCTCGTGTTCTCCCAACATCCCGCGTGGGTTATCACGCCGGTAAACCCATAAAAAGTGTGGTCTATTGCTTAAGTACAAAGACCCTACAAAGCAAACACGTTTGAATGAAATTTACGAAAGACAACAACATAGAGGAAGATACAGTCCTTCCATCTTCCAACTAGGAACGAGAAAGTTGGAATGACAGGACATGCGCACCGCTAGTTTTTGAATGCAGCAGTGCCCCCTGACAATCAAGGAAAACAAATGGCTTTCTATTCAGTGAACGGTGGTCTAACAGTGCGAAACACAAACCTGTATCAGTATCACAAGGGGAGACAAACGATCGTTGCATACATACTTTTGAGACCGAAACTGAAACGTAATATTTCAGTCATTAGCCCTAAATGTAAGGAAGGGTTTTACGACTCCCGAATTTATTTAAACCTGATTTCTTATGCAATATTTTTTATCATTATTACCATTTAAATATTTTCTCAATATGACAAGACGCACTTGTCGCTTACCATATATCTAACTTTGGGTTGTACCAAAATCGCCGTTAGAGGTAAATTTTTTACCAGGGGCGTAAAGAAACGGAGTGCTTCCCCGCTTAAATAAACATTTGAGGCTTGAGGGTGTCAACCTTTATAGTAAAGGAATGATTAATAACATTAAGTAATGGATGAAAAGATCAGGAAACCTGAGGTACAATAGGGTGCAAAACGATGGAAAACATATGAGTGAGCCCAGTGATTAGCGCAGGAAACCCAGCAACGGTGCAACAATGGTTCGCGCAAAATATACGAACAGGTCTTTCACTCTGCCGGTGTCGGAAAATGTTTAAGATCTTTTATTACCACCTCGAAGTTTATGCCAGTGAGAGATAAGCCAGGTCCGTTTTTCCCATAAATAATGATGACCATATTTCAGGTACAATCTATGTTTAAAAAAGAAAAGAAGGGATGGAAAAAACAGGATAAGTTTTTAAATTAAATCAAGAGAATATAAATGTTAAGGTCTGGAGGAGCATATTATCGTGCAAATGAGGCGGTGTCAAAAGATTCCTTTCTAAGTATTTCCGTCCAACTGACAATCCTCATACTGCTACTGCAGTAAACGGCCCGCTTGCTTGGGATAACTGAAAAACTGTCCTCCGCATAAGTATAAAACATACAGGAGGATAAAAAATTCAAAAGCGAGTGCGTCGAGGACGATGGTTCGATGGTTAAAAAAAAAAATTCTATCTTTTCCATCCCATCCTTCCGCTTGCGCTTTAATCCAGCCCCTAGCCTCCGCACTTTTTAGGATTTTACCTCTGTAAACGAGAGGGCGAGTAATGCTTTCAGACATGAAAAGCAAGAATGAGCGCTAACCTTTTCTCGATTTCCTGACACTGTTCTGGAAAATGGGCCCTTGAGACTTGAAAGACCATGGAGATCGAGATTATTTGGGGGTGTGCATTGAAAGGGGGAGAAGGAAGAGTGAACTTGTGATAGACAAGCATCTCATCAAGTAAAAGCAGTATAACTTTAACGGTTGCGGAGGTCAGGAAGGAAAAGATGGTCAAGTTTATGTTTTTGGTGTTTGGATTAGCAAAGGGTCCTTGTTCTGACGCTGTCAGATCTAGATATACTTGTGGAACACTTACCCTCCGAATAAAACGCCTCCCAAATGCGCCGCATGGTCAAAAAACTGCCAACGAAAAATTAATCCGGCCAAGTCGAACCCAGCTATGGCTACGAGGCCCTAAAAGTAAAGAATAGTGAGTATAATTATATGGCTGGCAGGCTCCGCGAGCGGGCAAGATGAAGTGAATCCGGCGTTCTGATTGGCTACCTGAACAGGCAGGATGGATCTATTTGACCAAGCTTTGTATAGTTATTTTTGAGAAACTGTAAACGCCGAGACTAGGAATGTGTTCAAATAACTTGAAATACTTGCAAAATAAGACATCACGTCTTTACCACATTCGACGCACGTATAAGAAATGTAAAATGTAAAAATAAAAGTGTTCTAGAAGTTTTAAAATCTTCGAAATATATTTCGCCGACCATTGTGTGACATAGATTCTCAAGTGCAAGTGAGAGTGAAACATAAACTCATTGGAACATTGTACCTTTTTGGAAGACTTTTGTAATTATGCAATATTATCAGTTAGGTTGAGTGAGAGATCAAGACGTGAGAGAACCTGGGGAATCTGTGACCGTAAACAACAATATCGAGAGTGATTATTTGTCAGAAACCTGTTCGGGACAACCTAGACTATACAGAATTGTTGCACTGCACGAAAGCGATAAGTTAACCAGAACAGACAGGGAACAGCTTTTACGGTGCATTTTGGCAGTTTTCGGTGCCGTCAATCATCTTAGCGGACCTCTCAGGAAACAGAACTTTACTTAAACAGGTTCAAAAGGTCATGGTTTGTGATCTGTGATTGGTGGATTTCGATCGGTTTGGTGTGTTTCTGTGTTTCAAGGTTCGCTGCTTGTGATCGTAATTATGGTTGACGGTAGCCTCCCATGCTGGCCTTTTTAGGGAAGCTTGTATGGAGGGAAGAAATACGAGCTCCCCTAAAAACGCCTGCATGGGAGGCTAGATTGACAGCAGCGAAAAAAGCTATTGGGAAGGTGGCTTTCAAACTTTAGAGTTCGCGTGTTTGTGAAAAACGCAGTAAGAGAAAGTAAGTGAGTGAAGCTATGAGACGAACTTGCATGCCAAATTCTCAAAGTTCCTGTTTTCGTCAGACGAGTCTTCTTTACCCTAATCCAAAATTTAGATCTTAATGCCGTGTGTTGCATTTTAGAAAGAAAATCAGCTTTATGGATCATGCAATGCCCTCTGGGATACTGAGTTAATAACTGATAGTGTTCACTTGTTGACAGAGAAATCTACCCATTTTATAAACTGGATCTGCCTTGAGGCAGCCCAGTTAATTAAGACTTGTTCAAAAAAAATATTGGGAATAATTGCAAGAAGTGACTTACCGTTCCAGCGGAGAATGTTAAAAATGGTAAAAACACGATAGCCAATCTTGTGTCGGGTTCATGAATGCACCATAATGACAGAACTGCCAACAAAGCCCCTGACTAAAAAAAAGCACACCACTGAATTACTGTCTTGCAGCTGTATTAGCGGCCTAAGTGGAAGGCGTTCAAAAGAGAGGGAGAAGGATATTTGATTCTCCCGCGCCCAAAATCTCCTTTCCCTTCCCTTTTCGAACGGCTGCCATGCAGGCTAATACAGCTGTATATTTACCACTCATGGGCAAATGATAAATAGGTAATTGATCACAGGAAAGCACACTTTATTTTGTTATGTTATAAAGTATTGTAGATACCCCTTTTATTAAGCCTAGTGCTGTGATTGTCATTGATTCAATCTTGACCATATCTTCCTTGCATCACAGAATAAAAACTTTCCACATGTTTATAGTATAAACCTCCATTCTCTTACCGCTCCTAACGAAGCACCCAGAGGTGATGAGGTCACGATAATTTTGTATGCAGTACTAGCAAAAGAAGCAAACACACCTAGGAAAAATAAGAACATGAACATGCCTTGTTAAGAAATTTGCAAAGGTCTTAACACTTCAAAACCCAATATCAAAAATGCAAATTCTCTGCTCTAATTTCCATACCTTTAATTGAAGAATAAGTTGAGAGAATTTGATAAAAGATCAATGCATCTCTTACTTGGTGATTATTTGATTTTTCCTCATAAGCTTTTCTCACGATTATGTACAGAAAATCAGTGTTAGGAGAAGAGTAATGTTGGTCACTATAGGACTTAAAGGGTTACAGTACCCAAAAAATATGTCTAAAATTTGTCATAATCCTACCTCCAGTGATATAAAATGCTATAAACTGTTCTTTACCAAGAAGGGCTGAAACAGAAACATAAAAAGGTTCATGGTACACAGACTAACCACTGAAAAAGACAGTCACAATAATTCCTCTGATAGACATGCTTGTTCCACATGTTTCTGAAAAGAAATTCTACCTTATGAAGCCCATGTGAATCTTTTCAATAATTTCTCTTTTCAGTTTGTTACTAGCCTGTTCACAGACCCTCTTTTTCTCTCTTGAGAGATTGTCGAGCAGGCATATGGAATAATGAATCCTCAGGAGACTTATTGACAGCAAGGGCAAGGGGTAGGGCTTGCTCACACGCAGTCAAATTGTCAAAAGAAAAAAGAAAAACATCTGTGGACATGCTAGTTTGTTAACATACCTTCAACATGGGGAGCAAAACTCCATAGAACAAACATATTAATGCCCAAATGCCAGAAGTCCATGTGACTAAATGCACTTGTTAATAACCTCACAGATGAGCCTGAAAAAAAAAATTGTACCTCTAATTCCTCTCAGTCCACCACCTATATTATGATCATCAAAGCCTGCGTAGCAGGCTTCAATAGGAAAAGAGAAATGGAGAATTTCGGCACATGAGAGTGCAAGGGGTGCACAAGGGGTCCTTTTTTCCTCTCCTCGCACACTCTTCACCCTCTTGCGTGTCTAAATTCCGCCTTGCCTTTCTCCTTTTGTCACCTGCCACACATGCTATTATCATCCAGACTAACCTGGACCAGGAGACATTGTAAACCATTTCCACATAAAATTTTGCATCTGAGGTATTTTCCATAACAAGAAAACTGTTGTATTAAGGAAGATAATCACTGATGCTGTCTTGGATCCGTCAGGTAATGAATTCCACCATTTGTTGAACTGAAAGAAAGTAAATCAATGCTCAAGCTCGTAGCTATCTGGAAAACTAGTGGTTATGAGTGACTATTAACTGATAAACATTCGCAAGTGGTAATAAACAGTGAAACACTCATGTAATAACTCTACACATACCATATCTCTAATACCAAACTGCTTTTTAGACCCAGTACTAGGAAAATATGCTTGATTTTTATGGATGTAAGAACTTCTAACTTTTTCATACTGAAGAATTGAACATGCTCCAAAACTGACTGCACCTGTCTTGAAACAGAAAATTCAGAGGCATGTTAAGCAAGCAACATAACCTCCCTCCAATCAAGATCACTTTCAATCAATTAGCCTGCGTGGCGTTCAAAAGAGGTGTGGAAGGGAATTTGGGTGCGAGTCTGCCAAGAGAGGAGGTGGGTGGAAGGAGTTCCCCTCTGCCCTTCCTCGAGTACCTTTTGCGCTTCTTGCACTCTTGGAATCTCCTTACCCTTTCCCTTCCTTTCAAACCCCTGCCAAGCAGGCTATCAATCAATGAATACCAGCAATCAAACCTGAACATTCAATTATGCACTGACTGTTAAACACTTTCGGTGCTGAGACCTCTGGAAGATGTACCGATAAAGAAGAAACATCTAAACAATAAGAATGATTATTTGCTATTTGCAGTCTTTCTTTTCCTTTTCGCCACTTTGCTCTTTTTTTTTTTCAGACACTCCTTTCCCACTTTTTTCTTCTTGTAAAAACTAGACAAAAAAGGTATCAGGTACCATACCAAAACAATGAAATTTTGATATCCATGTTTCCTCATTAGCTTTTTTCATCTTTGAACCATGCAGGGACAACAAGCCCCCTGTATGACACTCTATGTAATGAAATGCAGGTTTTTTATTGCCCGGAAATGGAATTCCTCCGGGATAAGTTAGAAAAATCGAGGATTTCTTTAGGAGTAGAGTAAAAATAATATGGAATTCCTTGGGGGTGAACCGTGAAGCTTTAATTTTCATGAAATTCTTGAGGGGTATGACCCATTTTCTTCTTGGATGTCTTCAGGGGTAAATGCAATTTTAAACAATCTTCAGGGGTAAGAAGAAAAGGTTAAGTCCTCAAATGCAATAACCATACCATGACGGTAAATCCGAGAGGGCGCACTATCATTTTAAATTTACTTTCATCTTCAGGCCTTCCAGGATGAAGTTCTCTTTTCCCAAGTCTTTTTCTGTGTTGAACACGACCATCTCCGCTATATCTTCTTGACCTGCCGTTCATAAATAAGCTTAAGTTACAGTCAGAAAAGCAAAAAAGAGACAAGATTTACAATTCTAAAAAGACAAATTTGCACTCCTAGCTAACACAATAAAAAATAACCAGGAGAAAAGTGCAAAAATATTTCACCTGAAAAGAAACAGCTTAGAAAACGATGTGTTTTTACAAAACTTTTTTGCAGCGTTCCGTGAAAACGCAAAGACGGCGGCCATTTTGAAAACTTGTATATCGTTCCAGGCGTTCGCTTCCATTGCAGTTAGGACCCACTCTCTCCTCTGTTTACTCTTCCTCCGGTCAAACATTGTTGGCCGGTTGTTTAGCTTGTAAGGCAATAACTTCATGAAATTATGTTATTCAGTTCAGATTAACTGGAGCTTTCATACCTGATTTTTATATGTCGGGGGGAGGGGATACCCAAAAATATCCAAGCAAGCTGAGGAAAAATTAAAAATAAAAAAAATCTATGCACGCCAAGTAACCCTAAAATATTCATGCACTGGCCTAGAAAAAATTCTTACAAGGAAAATATTAACGAAAAACTTCATGCGGCACGGAAATTCAAGTAGCCCTAGGATGACCGAACAGATACAAATACAGCGCCGCTTAGAATGCATTTCTAGAGATCTAAAAGTACTCTGGATAGCCTAAAAGTGTTTAGGAGGAAACCGTCGTTGGGTGCCGCTGACAGTAGGATCAGCACCAGCAGAAAGGAACAGAGTAAGTCTCAGTAGCTTTTATTTTAATTGTGTTCACTCTCCAGAATTTTATCCTAAAACTCAATTGACTGGTAGTAACCACTTAACTCTAAAACTGAAACTGAGATCACTAACCCCAATGTGGATGAACTCAGCGTCAAGACTTATGTCTCGTACTTTCCTGCTGCCAAACTTAAGCCTGCTGCCCTACTTCAGTCAACCTTGGGCTCACCCAGCTACAACAGACTCAGCAAATACGCCTGCGGTGGAGCCTAAATACCTTAATATGATTCCAAAGAAGGAAAATACAGCCCACCTATCTACAACCAGGCCTCAGGAAAGACGCCTGGAGTGGAACCGAAAGACCTTGATGCGATTCCGAAGGAGGAAACTACGGCCCACCCATCTAAAAGTGACTCATCAACGGAGACCTGGCGTGGAGCCTGAGGACCTTGATCTAGGGGGAGGGTGCAGGGGGTGTGCGCACCTCCCCCCCTCCCCGAGATGACCTGCGGTTTTCTAATACAACTAGTATTCTGCAAAAAAAAACTATGTGGTTTATTGGTGTTGAAGTAGAGCAAGAGACGAGTGCACCCCCTCCTAAAAAAGGAAACTACAGCACACCCTTGGTCTACAAGCGACTCAGTAAAGAGGCCTGGTTCTTGATGAGATTCCGAAGAAGAAAATTACAGCCCACCCATCTACAAGCGAATCAGCAAAGAGGCCTGGTTTGGAACCTAAAGATCCTAATGAGATTTCGAAGAAGGAATCTACAGCCCACCCATCTGCAAGGGACTCCGTAAAGAGGCCTGGTTTCATTGGAACCAAAAAATCTTGATGAGATTCCGAAGAAGAAAACTACAGCCCACCCATCTACAAGCGAATCAACAAAGAGGCCTGGTTTGGAACCCAAAGACCTTGATGTGATTCCGAAGAAGAAAACTAAGCTTTGAACGAGGTGGACACACTTGATTTAAGCAAAATTTACTTTCATTGTCAGCTGAAAAGTATCGCACATTTTGATTATTTAATAAATCGAGGTTTTGCTGGGAAGCATTTGTCATGGTCTCCTGGTGTATAATGATGACTTTATCGCTTCCAAAACTGGGCCTTTTTTAACTTGTTTGAATGCATCCAGCAGCGGGGCTTGTAATATGAAAGTTAGTGTGAGCAGCAGGGGCGGATCTAGGAACAGGGCGCAGGGAGATGACCTGCGGTTTTCTAATACAACTGGTATTCTGCAAAAAAAAACTATTTGGTTTATTGGTGTTGAAGCAGAGCATGAGACGAGTGCACCCCCTCCTAAAAAAAATCCTGGATCCGCCCCTGAGCAGGTTAGCTGTTTTTGTTTCGCGGGCAAGTGGTATTGACTCTGTTGTTTATTCTTTTGCTGTTTATAAGGGCATTGAGCCAGCCAGGCGAGACCTGGAGAGAGCACTCAGTCAATATTATACGTTATTTAGGTTGGTTGTTCTATTAAAAGAACATTGTGAATTTGCAATGCTAATAACCTTTCTCTTTTTCTTTTAATCCATTTGGTCTAAACTCATTTCTTATTCTTTGTTGCCAGGTCATTGCCATCTATTTTTAGTTACACTTCAAACCAGTTCAATCTTTTCTACTCCCACGACAATCCCAAGGACAAGACATTATTTCGTCATCGGGAAATCACGGTAAATATACGGTCATCTTCCGTAAGGAATCTTAAATATTTTCAGTGATGGGGGCTTTGATGGGAAATCATTTCATCTAGGAAAAGTAGGGCCCACAAATGAATAAAAAAGTTTGAATGGTAAATCATATCATTGTAGCTCAGTCTACGAGCTAGAGACAAGGAACTGAGGGATGATGGAAAATTCAATAAGATTCCTTTTCAATCCTAACAGGATGCGAAAGAAGAAAAAAAAAAGTTGCAATACAAACAATTAAAATTTTGTTTCATAAAATCCTATGAAATAAACCGTACTGTGCGATAGTTCAGCCCAAAAGGTTTCATTTAATGGCGGTAACCATAGGATTTCGTCTGCAGATTTGAAAGCTCATTACTGGATAGACTTAGCTGCTCTTTGTGGTCAATCTAATTATTTAAAATTAGCAATAAACATTTGGCGACGCTACCACTGGCTTCCCAGCCAAACGACGACGGGGAAACTAGTGGTAGCGCGGTCGCCAAATGTCGGCTGTTTTCTAAGGCTATACAAAAATACGCTTGTCATATCATTGCAAAATGTATTATAGAGCCTAAGGGCTAATTAAGTGGGAGTTTTTTTACCTAGTTAGCCTTCAGCCTTTTTCTAGTTTTACTTCACAGGTAAAAAGTATTACACTACGTTATTTAACACGGAAAGAAATTTAATCAATAAGTAGGAAAAAAGAAAGTAAACTCGATCTCTCGGCGGTGATGAGTGAAAAGAAGTGTTTTTGGTCGTCTTGTAGTGAAGGAAAACGTATTTAAAGATTTCAGCTGGTGCAAAGGAAAATTTTTCCAAGATCAATTACCATGAATGAAATTGCCTGTTGTCGCCACAATGTGGTCAAAGAGTCAAACTGGGATTAATTTATTATTCTATCACCGCGAGATTAACGCGTTATTCACGATGATCAAGTTTTCTTGGAGAACATCGACAACTTTTCTTGCCAAGAGAAACGAAAGGTATTTTCTTCTTCGTCTCTTTACTTATACACTTAAAATGGTTGATTTTACGCCAACTACAAGCCGCAAGTCGCGTGCTTTTAGAAGGCCTTGGGGGTGGCCCAAAAATTAACCTTTCAAGAGGTTTATTTTTTCATCAAATCCACAAAGGCTGGTATGTTATATTGCCTTTTTGAGTTTGTCAAGTACCTTCGATTGTCACCAGTTTTTCCACTGATATTGAACCCTCCTTCTCTTGATCAGATACATTTATCACAAGATTCGAGGAGCAATATTATTTTTCGTGCGTTCGTTTAAGAAAAGAACAAGAGATCAGTTATTATTACAGTGTCATTTCGTTCTTTGGTCTCCTTAAGGCGGTCGATTTCAAAAAAATTGTTGAATTAATATCAAAAAGTAAACACGTATTTGTTTGTGTAGGCATTAAGAAACCCGAACGCTCGTGTGGTAGGTCACAAGGACGAAATTAGTAAACAACGTTTTTTTGAAAGTTAACTTATAATACTTAAAAAATGTAAAAATATGACTATGAATCTTTGAGGGAAGCTCCTGTTAAGATTTATTAATAGTTTGATTGATTCGCGAGCAATAATAGTTAGCATAGCACAAAAATAGGTAAAATAGGGGATATTTAATTAATGAACAAGAAATTCCTGGAAAACTTGACCCTCCCGGCGCAAAACTTCAGCAAGAATTAAAACGAAAAGGGATCGTTATTGTTTTACGTGTCGGTTGAGCAACAACTTCTCATCTGAACCTTATGACCGCACCTGCATAAAGCCAGTAAAGGCTTTCCTGCTTACACATTAAGCATCCTTAGGCAACTTACATGTTTTCAATTTGATCAATTTCATAGTCACGCGAAAGGCAGCTGTCATACTTTGGCAAAAGATTTTGTTCGTGCCACTTTTCAAAATCACTTTTTAAAGTCACGCGATAGAAAATTGCAAGGGATAATTTCGAACATCGATCCGTTTATTTCGAAGTAACAGTCAAATTCAAGGAACAGAAGGACAGCGTGTCAGAGTTAAAATTATAAAAGAAAAGATCGAGACTGTATTTTAAAGGTGGCTAACCGAGGGTAACGTCAACAGTTCAAGATTCGATGGAAAAATGTAGACAGTATGGCAATCATTTTCCATCTTTGTTTCATGGCCAAAAACTGCCAAAAGGTTCAAAAGGGTTTTAATCAGTTGTTTCCTCTGACAGAACTATCCCTAAGGGAGGGAATCGGATTGGAGGGGAGGGGAGGGGGGATTCATGTTCCCTTGCGTATCGATGAGAAAATAGAAAGGTTAAGCATCACGTTTACGTAAAAAGGCAAACGCGAATTTGTATTGACCAAGTTTCCCCTTTACTTGCTATTTACTTTTCATTATTTCTTCATAAATTAGTGATCGTGTCTAACCAAGGTATTGACACGTGACTACTAACCAGTTCTTCTTGGGCAGGCCTCAGTACATATAAAGTCCACTTCACAAACTTATCAGAGAAACAGAAAGCGTCCTCCCGTCATAGTAGTTGTATGGAATACACTTCATACTGGAAAGCAGGAGTCGGCTCCTGTGGAAAGTCAATGTTCCCTTAGCCTGTTCCTCATGACACAACAGGCAGTTACCCTCTTCCCTAGAAGTTATTTCAAGAGGTCGTGTTTC